TCACATACACTCACACACTGACAGCGAGAGCGAGAGAGCGAGAGCAAGAGCGAGAAAGAGAGATCAGTTTCTATGTGGAACAATTTCCCAAGGTCCAAAAGACCTAAACATCCCATATAGGGCTGGAAGCTGTAAGAAGCTAAATATAGGGGTTCAGTGTCTGGTATGAAGCCTTGGGGTCGAGATATAAAGTTGAAAACAAGGTGGGGTCCACTTATATTTCATCCTTCAGCAAAAGTAGGAGAGATTTTAGAGTAAGGACACAGTTTTTGAAGTAAAATTATCTTAGCAACCATGTTCAGTCAGGCAGAATGCTATTGGGATTAAGAGAGTAGCGTGGAGATGCAGAGAAGCCTCTTTCAGGAGAGACCTGAGGAGAATGGGTAAGATCTGGTGTTAGATCAGAATAAAGAAAAGAGATACACAAGGTTTCATAGATGAGATCAGAAACACTGTGAGGAGTGGTAACGTGCAGTCCAGGCTGCAGAGGAGCAGACTGAAGCTGTGCAGAAGGCAGTTGCATAAATATCATGGAGTTTAGCAAAGGTGATGGATGGACCTGGGGACTGCAGAACGTGTATGTGAAAGGGAAGACGTAGTGGAGCCAGAATAAGAGGAAAATAAAAACACTGTACATCAAAACTCAGAGTTTTATAGCATTAAATGCTTAAATGATATTAGTGAGATGTTTATTTCAAAAACTAGGGAAAAAATAAAGCCATTAAGAAGTAGACAGAGCTGGGTGTGGTGGCGCACACCTTTGATTCCAACACTCAGGAGGCAGAGAAAGGCAGATCTCTGTGAGTTCCAGGCTAGCCTGGTCTATATAGCAAGTCTAGGCCAACCAGCTAGTGAGAACTTGTCTCAAAAAAAGAGCATAAAGAACAGAATTAGGAGTAGTTTTAAATGAAATAGCAAAAGATATACTAGAGTGAATTAAGGTAAAAAGTTGGTTTTTAAAGGAATATAATCAAGCTAAACAAATTTTTGGTAATTTTAATCATAAAAGAGATGAAATGAATGGCTAAAAATGAGGCATATATGCAGATAAGGCCAAAAACAACAATATGAGAATAGTATGCTCAGTTAATTGCATTACTAACAAAAACTATGTATTACTGTGCTCTTCTCTGTATTCTTTTTGTTTATTATTTGGTTTTGTGGGGAAGAGGGATTGAGACAGGCTCTTTCTATATAGTGCTGGCTGGCCTGGAACTCACTATGTAGACCAACCTGGCCTTGAACTTGCAGTGAGCCACTATTCCTGGCTACAACTTCTTCCTGGTGCTAGAAATGGAGAAAGGTCCCATGCTAGGCAAGGACCCTACCATTGAGCTACATGCCCATTCTTTGTATTTTTATTCAAGAAACTGCATAATCCTCTACTCATAAGTCCACAGGGGTGATTTATCAGCAAGCTTACATGCTGTTCCCATAGCTGTTACCTTCTAGGATTGTCAGATATTTGACTTTGAGGTCCTTCTTGACAGATGAGTAGGTTGTAAAGAATCTTCTTTGGGAAAACTGAGGAGGAACCCAATAGAGGGATGCTTTTGGAAGTCCTTGTCAAGAAATTCCAATGGACTCTCATATGAACATTTGAAAATTGCCATGTTCTGACTTTTTTCTAGTTCCCTGTCTAGAACTTATAATGCTAATTATTCTTGCCTTTACTTCTCCTTCACACCCCCTATTCACCAGCCAAGGACTTTCTTTTTCCCCTAGAGATAATTTGGGAGTCTTTTAGATAGACCCACTGAAGGGGTACTCCAATTGCCTCACCCTGCGTCCCTGTTCAGCATGGAAGAAGGTAGAACGGTCTGCATCCCTATCTCCTATTGGCAATTTGGGTAACCTCTTCAGAGGATGGTGTGATAAGAATAGGAGGTAGGAATTGGCTAGGCAGTTAGGGTAAAAAGACCCCAAAGAAAAGTAGCCGGTTTCTTGGCTAAAAGTCAAAATGTCCTTGGGCCTGTTAGCAACATACTCTGTTCCAAAGGCCAAAAATGTCAAAAGTATTTGGGAGCTTGTACCTAATCCTTAAAAGAGTTTAGGGATACCTCTTCAGAGGGGGGAATGTTAGAGTAGCCAAAAGCCCCATAAAAATAAATAAATAAATCAAAGAAGAAGGAAGAATACATGAAGTTATCAGAAAAGTGATGGGGAGATATGGGAGGAGTTGGCGGGGAAGGGAGTGGGCATGGATTTGATCAAAACACCTTACATGCATGTATGAAATTCTCAATAAATTATTTATTTAAATTTAAAAAAGAATCTTCTTTGGGATACTCCTATCCACCACACTCAGTCAAGCAACTCAGGGTCATTAAGCCCAAAGAATATGAGGATTGTTAGATATTTTCTAATTGGGATTCTGACTTGGCTGCTTCACGGGGTATTATTTGAAATTTAGTGCCATACAATGTCTCAGAACCTTGATGAATGTCTTGCAATGAATGAGTGCAAACACTCATTAAGGAAAGGTGATTCTGTTTATCTGGGCTGAGTCCCTCTGTATTCTGTGTAGGGACTGTGGGGTGGGGTTAAATCTCTCAGTGATTAGATTATTTTACAATTACAGCTACTTCTCGGTGAATTGTCTTTTTTGGATGTAGTCTCTGTACTGCATGCTCTACGGGGAGGATACAGATTTTCTTATATCCCTTAAAACACACAAACTATCTGGGTGTGGTGGAGCATGCCTTTAACCCCAGCTCTTGGGAGGCAGAGGCAGGCAGATCTCCGTGAGATTGAGGCCAACCTGACCTACACAGTGGGTTCCAGTTCAGCTTTGGCTACAGGGAGTCCCTATCTCAAAAAGATTTTTTAAAAGCCTATGAACTATATCTCTCCCTTGACCACTTGAAGCCACTCTCAAAGACTCCAAAATGACTTTTCAGAGATCCCAATAATTCTAAGGTTATTTTATACCCTCATGTATCTTATGAAATAGCTAGACTTTCTCCCTCACAAAAGAAGAACCCCCCCCCCAAATCTCTTATTTGCTAGATCACTTTCTTGGAAGGATAGCATATCAAACATCAAACATAACCATGTACTTTCCTTTTTATTCAAAACCTTAGCACAAATGACATTCTTGTTGTTGTGTGTTCTATAATCAAGAGAGATTTCAGCAGTTTTCTTATGATTGGACTTCCCATGAATCAATTTCCATTTAACCATTTCACTTATTGCTGAACTCCAGGAGTCAGTTATTATCCAGAAGGCCATCACACCTGCCATTCATTTATACATGCATTCAATTTTGTTGAGCACCTACTGTATAGAAGACACCCAATCAGGGACTAAGTAGACAGGACAGCTTCCCCCTCACCTCAAGAGAAGAGTCAGTTGGCCTCAAATTTCAATTATGCCTCAGAAACCCTGGTCTTTGGATATGCTATAGATAATTCCATAGGCAATACAATCATGTAAAAATAAATTGTGACCCTCCATTTCCATCTACTCACTGTTGTTACTCCTAATCGCAGATGGTTTTACAAATCACTATTCTGAGACTCACTTTTAATTCCTCTCTCTCCTACACCAAGTTATTGAACACTAAATTGCCTTTTAACCTGCCATTTAAATATTGTACATCTTTTCTCCCCTCTCCCTGTCAGCTCATTCGTCTTGGCATCATTTAGTTGGCAACAAAGGACCTTCTAAATGGATGTCCTGGTTTGAGTCTTACGAATACTTCCAACTCAGCCTCCCCAAATAATCTTCCTAAAATGGAAACTCAATCACATTTATCCGGTTGCCTGAAAGATCACAGTGGAGTTCCCAGGTCTGGTTTATCATGCTTACCATGTGTTCTATCACAGTCCCACCTAATCTCTTTATACAGGCAAAGGAAACAAAATCACTCAAAAAAAACAAAAAGCATAATGTTGCTTCCATGGAAATTTTTGTATTTAAAAACCTTAGCATGTACATATTTCTTTTTGAGGTATTTATTTTATATACATCATTTCAGGTATAAAATCCTAGTTTGAAAATTGAAGTAGACAACCAATATATTTCAATTACACTGAGATTTAACGATGTTGAATTCCCTGGTCTGTGAGTGAAAAATCCCAATTAAATTCATGGTCCTTCTGCCTTGCTCCTGGGGGAGGGCTAAATTCTGGGGGAAGCCTTTGTTGTCCTTAGTCCTTCAGGTTTGGGGGATCCTCTTCTCAATTTCTGTGTTTTGTTGGTGGGTATCTCCATCGTTTTTCTTTCACAAAGCCTCTCTAGAGGTTGGACATCTTCCTGGGGTTTTCTATGGCTTCCCCACACCACAGAATCAATTTCCTGTCTGGTCTCGCTGCCTGTTGCAGACCACCTGGAGGCCAGACATTAGGACACGACTAGGGTGTTCCTTTTTACTTAATCTTGTTAATAGTTTATTTCAGAAGAACGGTCTGGATATTTTGTGAGATTTTAGTATTACGAATAAATTGATTCCTGTTTTTGATGGCCTAAGTCAACACGAAGCCAAGGATTCTTGAATTCTCTCTGCCAAGGCTTTTTTCTCCCTACTTGAGACAGCGTAAAAAACAGAAGGGTTAGTAGCTCCTAAATCCATCAACCCATTTGGATACACATCGGGTGCTTTATTACTTTTGAAATAGTGTCTTGCTCTGTAGCCCAGGCTGGCCTCCAATTTACGATCCCCTTGGCCTCTGCCTCTCGAGTGCTACGATTACAAGCGAGAGCCATTATGCCCGGATTAACAGCGAATTTTCCAATCTGTTAGTGGTGAGCATGAGGTGGGACCCGGCTCGGCCACTTTCCTTATAAATCTAATTATTTCCCACACCGTTCTGCCCTCGCAGCCTCCCGCCCCTTCGGCCCCGCCACCTTCCAGCTCGGGCTCCGCCCCTTCCCTTCTCCCCCTCTTCCCCGCTCCCGCCTCCTCTTCCCAGCCCTGCCTCTTTCCCCTCCTCCGAGCCACGCCCCTTTCCTCTCCGCTCCTCTCCGCCTTCAACCCCTCCCGCTCTTCCGGACTCCGCGCTACACGGGAATGCTTTTTGTTGCTCCTTGCCACCCGTACGGACGTCAACCAGTCGTTCCTGTCGCGCTGTCATTACCTGTACTGTGGGCCGGAAGGAGACTATAAGCGCTTTTGGAATTATGGCGGCGGTGGATATCCGAGGTACTGAATGCTGTTAAAGCTCTTTTTTCCCCCCGTTTGCGAAGCGCTGTGGAGGTTCATAGCTCGTCGCGGCAAGTTTCACACGCTGTTGTGAAGTCTCTCAGTTCTTTTGAAGGACCCGAGGCTCTAGTTTGGCGAGAAGTCGACACGTTTTCCCCTGTTGCCGAGGAGTCTCGAAAATCGTCGAAGCGGAAGAGTTAGGGGCAGTTTGGGGTTTTGACCCGTCAGAGCAAGAGTACCGTTTATATACGTAGCTCTGCCGTAGGCCTGGGGCCATTATATCGAGTTGAAGGGATGCCTTTGGGAAGAGGGGAGCGGAATAGAGATTGATAGCACCCTAAGGGTCCCTGGAAAGGCATCCATAAGTCTTTCTATTGTAAATTTAAATTTTAATAGAGAGCACCTTTTATCTAACATTCAGTAGTCATCTTGGGCAGGGATTTTTGTTTTTCCACCGCTGAGCTGTAGAGGTATTGCAATGTTTTCTGAACCAGTGAGTAACTATATAGAGATGCAACGTCTTAATTGCTTTTTGATCTTGGGTAGCATATATGGTTCTTTTTGTAGACTTCATTTTTATTCCTTGACAATTTCATACATACATATATGGACACACACACCACACAAAATGTATTTTGATCACATATACCCCATTACCCTCTCTCTCCTCCCACTCCCACTCAACCCCTTCTCAACAAGTTCCCCACCTACTGTTCATTTTTTGTGTATGTGTGACCCCTGAGATTAATTAGGATTGCCTGAATGAGCATATTTCATTTTAAAAGAAGTGTTTGAGATGCATTTTGCTATATTGCCCAAACCTAGATTCTAGCTAACTTATGTCTAATTACATAGTGATTGTCAGCATTTTTTGGATCATGTTTTTACCTGCTTGTCTTTCATTGTGATGAGTTTCAAGTTCCTCATTTCATCACTAAGACTAAGAATGCTGTACTTGTGGTTGTTGTCACTGTGCTGTCTTGCTAATGAATGAGAAATGTCCAACAAGACCACATTTGGTTATTTAGCTTTTGTAATGTTTTATATTTTATTGAGATTTGTTAGGATCATAGTAATGTGTCTGATGAATGGCAGGGAAGCTGGTACAGAGGTGGAATGAGAGAATGTGGGAAAGTAAGTCACAGAAGTATTGTAAGTCCAGGGTAAGGTCTTGTCTTGAGTAAGATGGATAGCCACGGGAGTTTTGACCAGTGAGATGACATGTTCTGTCTCTGTCTCCCCCACCCCCCATTTTGAACAGAGGGATGACATGTCCCTCCCTTCCCTCCTTCCTTGGATCATTTTGTCTGCCTGCTAATAGTGTAGGAAGGCAAGGGTAGAATTAAGCCAGTTAGGCAGCCTTTTCTGAAATGGATGGAGATTGGAGGTAGCTTGGAAAAGGGTGATAACTGTGAATAATGAAAAGTGATTGAATCAGCTTAATTTGGTAGTGCCTTCTCTTTATGAAGCTGTGATCACAGGTTATCCTTAAGTAGGACAAATAATGTCTTATTTTAACAGTCATAGAGTACACTCCATCCTAGTTAAGCATTTTGTAGATAAACATACTTGGATACTGGAGTCTGTTTAAATTGATAAAGATTGGTGATTAATCATACTTATCCTTGGCCCTCAGTCATGAATTGTAAGCATTTGCTGATACTGTGCATCCAGCTTTATGTTCATTTCCTGATGATTCAAACCTCACAATTTAATGGGAACATATTTGTATTTCTGGTTTATGATATGAGAATTAATAATAAAAGTATATTAGAATTTCTGAGTGTTATGGTGCACGCCTTTAGTTCCAGCACATAGGAGGCATAGGTAGCAGATCTCTGTGAGACCCAGCCTGGTCTACACAGTGAGTTCCAGGCCACCTGGAGCTTCAGGAAGACCCTATCTCAAAAAAAAGTACATTAAAATTGCTATGAGAACAGAGAAAATGCTACCACTTCCCGTCATGTTAATGTTTATTGAGTTACAATATGCTAAACATTTAATATACATAATGTATGCATAATTACAGATCTTACCAAGAATTAATATACATGGACCATCAAATAATAATGCCCTGAAAGAATGCATATAAAGATAAAGACATGGGGTTGGCGAGATGGCACAGCAGTTAAGAGTACTGGCTGTTCTTGCAGAGGACCTGGATTGATTCTCAGCACCCACATGGTGGCTAACTGCCGTCCAAAACTCAAGTTCCAGGGGAGCTGACGGCCTCTTCTGACCTCCTTGGTCATTGTACAACATGGGTGCACCTACTTATATGCAGGCATTACACTCATACACATAAAATAAAAATAATAAAAAATTTTTAAAGACACAAACATTTTAGGAAAAAAGGTCAATTTCCTAAGGCAGATGAAAAGAAATATTTTATAGCAAATAAAAACTTAATAATTGGACTAGAGAATTTAAATCTTAGAGTCATGGTTACCCTTAGTTGCTTTTCATTAGAAAAATGTCTTTTTTCTGAAAATGTTATTTCCTGGTCTTGTATATTTTGACTATGACTTGATCCATTTATGAATTATATAGTCTTTGTTGATTATTTTGGTTATTGACATACTTCATCTGTTTGCCTCCTTTATTTTAAAACACACAAAGCAAATTTTTATTTTTAAAAATAACAACTTTTTCTCATTTGATTTCTTTTGCTTGGAATTGCTTGTCACCTTGAATTCTTCAAAGACGCCAAAAGTAGTTGCAGTGCAGAAGAGGTGAAGTTTTTCAGCCAGTGTTATCTACACATTTTCATGTTCACAAATAATCAAAGTTAGTGCTTTTTAGTAGGCAGTGCTATGAAACATCACAATTGTTCTAGTTTGCTTTCTGTCACTGTGATAAAGCACTGACCAAACATAACCTGGGGAGGAAAGTGTTTAGCTCATCTTATACTTTATGAGGAAAGGCAGGGCAGGAGCTGGAGGTAGGAACTGAAGCAGAGACCATGGGGGAGTGCTGCTTATTCCTTGCTTCCCTGGCTTGCTCAGTTATCCATCTTGTATAGCCCAGGCCCACCTTCCTATGGATGGCATCACCCAGTGTGCCGGACCCTCCATCAATTAGCAATTAAGAATTGCCTCACTGACATTGCCAAGGCCAATCTGATAGAGGAAAAATTTTCAATTAATATTCTCTCTTCCCAGGTGTCTCTGGTTCGTGTCAGTTGACAAAAACTAACCAGCACAACCATCATAGCCAGTACACGATTAAAAAAAGCTCATTAGTTACAGTTACCTGTTTTACCATGTGTTTTGAGACAGACTCTTGTGTAGCCCAGGCTGACCTCAAGTATCCTGATCTCTGGTCTCAGCTTCTTGAGTGCTATGGATTGAAGACATTCACCACTGCTCTTGCTTCTCTACCATGTCTTTTTACAATTTAAGGTTTAATACTACTCAATATGAAATAACATGGCTGTAATAAGGGATTTTACTTAGCATTTTCCCCTTTTAAATCATCATCTTGTCTAAAATAATAGTTTCCTAACTATTTCTTTGACCGGAGTGAATGATTTTAAACTGGTTGGTTATGGATGTGTTTGGAAAAAAATTTTTTAATGTGTATGAGTGTATTGCCTGCATGTATGTGAGTGCATCCTTGTTGTGCAGAGCCGTGGAGGTCAGAAGACAGCTTCAAATTCCCCTGGAACTGGAGTTAAGGACGGTTTGTAGCTGCCATGTGGGTGCTGTTAATCGATCCTGGGTCCTCTGCAAGAGCAATGTTCTTAACCACTGAGCTCTCCAGCCCCTTGTTTGGAAAATTTTTAATGAGTTGTCAGCATTTAAAAACCGAGAATTTCAGTCTTTTAAAAAAATGGTTCTAGATAAAGCTTAACATTTGTTTACCTAATCAAATTCTCTGAGCATATAATAAGCATATAATATACTTTTTTTTCATGCCTTTGTATCTGAGTTCTCTCTGGTGGGAACTTGTTTATCCATCTTTTCTCCCTGGTGAATCTTTTTCTTTAACACAGTGCAAAACCCACCTCCTGCCCCATGAAAATATGTGTGTGTGTGCATATGTGTGTGTGTGTATACATTTTTTTTTCTGCTTCCTTCTCTTTCCTGTTAGACCTTGAAAGTTAGAATCTATGTTTTTCTTTTATTCATAGTGCCTGCTACATTAGATGCATCATAGATATTTGTTGGATTCAGTTCTTTCTCTTTTCTAATCTTTATCATTTTATTTCTTTCCTATAGATAATCTGCTGGGAATCTCGTGGGTTGACAGCTCTTGGATCCCCATTTTGAACAGTGGTAGTGTCCTGGATTACTTTTCAGAAAGAAGCAATCCTTTTTATGACAGGACATGTAATAATGAAGTGGTCAAAATGCAGAGGCTGACATTAGAGCACTTGAAGTAAGTTACTTTAAAAGGTAGCATCTTTGCCAAGTAGAGATTTTGCAGTGAGGAACCTTTGAGCTGTGTAGTGAAGTACACAGTAGAACTTTTGGAAGACTGAAAACTGAAGTTTTAGGTTGGCAAGATGGCTTACTGCGTAGGCTTGATAACTTGAGTTTCATTCCTGCAGTTCATAGTAGTTAAGAACTAACACTTGAAGTTGTCCTCTGCCCTCCACATTTACACCAGCTCTCACACACATACAGTCATACAATAATAATAAATGCTGTTGAAAAATTTTAAAACAGTTAATTTGTGTTTGTACCATACATTTTGTAACTTAGAACTCTTCATGATGTCTATTTTGTAATGCATGTTTAAGACAGAACTGATGCTTAGGTGCTGCTCTGAGTGATTTGAACAGTGCATCTGTTCTCAACCAAACAATAATTGTCTACTTCAAATCTAATTTAGTAACTTATGATACAGTCTGATTTATTGTAGGCCTTTGTGTGACAAATGAAAAATTTTAGCTAAACAGAAAACAAGATTTTTAGGCTTAGGATACTAAATAATTAATTTATTCCAGTTGCAAAAGTTTCTGAAAGTAACTGTATATTATTTATCACCTATCACATAAATACTGGGGCTGGGGTATGTTTTATAAGTTAAGTTTCTATGTTATTTTAAATGGCTTTGGTTATGCGGTAAACAGAGCTATTAAAGGCAACTTATTGAAGCTTTTAAACACAATCTGATTGAAAATAATCATATTTAAGTTCATGATGAAGCTTTGTAGAGAAATTTTGCTTTTTAAAAATCAAATGTGGGCTTGAGGGATGGCTCAGTGGTATCAGCACTGGCTGGTCTTGCAGAGCACCTGGGTTTGATCCCCAGCACCCACATGGCAGCTGACAACTATCTGTAACTCCAGTTCCAGGGAAATTCAATGCCCTCTTCTGACATCTGTGGGCATTGCAGGACCCAGGTGCACTTCGATACATGCAGGCAATACACTCATACACATAAAATAGAAAATAATAGGGGCTGAAGAGATGGCTTAGGGGTTAAGAACACTGGCTGTTCTTGCAGAAGGCCCAGGTTTGAATCCCAGCACCCACATGGCAGCTAACAACTGTCCATAACTCCAGTTCCAGGGGATCCGATGGCCTCTTCTGTCCTCTGTGGGCACTGCCCGACACAGGTGCACTTACGTACATGCAAGGAATACACTCATACACGTACGATAAAAATAAATAAAATAGAAAAAAATAGAATTTAAATAAATAAATATTAGATGTTAGCTGGGCATGGTAGAGCATGCCTTTACTTCCAGCACTCAAGAGGCAGAGGCACGTAAATCTCTGAGATCAAGGCCAGCCTGGTCTACATAGCAAATTTTAGACCAGCTGAGGCTCTGCAGAGACTCTGTCTCTACAAACAAACACATCAAATGTTACCTATCTGTATACCAGTTGTCTGGGAAAATAGCTTGTTTTATTCAATGACCAACTTTTTTTTCTAAAGATGGGGGCAGGGTCTCCCTGTAGCCCCAGCTGGCCTGGCATTTGTGATGCAGACCAGGCTGGCGTTGACCTCACAGAGATCCATCTGCCTCTGCCTCCTGAGTGCTAGAATTAAAGGCATGTGCTACCACGCCTGGCCCTGTAATAGTTAACCTTTTTTTTTTTTAATTTTTATTTTATGTGTATGAGTGTATTGCCTGCATGTAAGTGAGTGCACCCGTGTTGTGCATTGCTGCAGAGGTCAGAAGAGGGCTTCGGATTCCCCTGGAACTGGAGTTAAGGCAGTTTGTAGCCACCACGTGGGTGCTGGGAATCAAACCCGGGTCCTCAGCAAGAGCAGTCAGTGCTGTTAATAGTGAACTTTTAACATGGACTATAAGCTGTTTTAATCCTATTTTTGTGATGTGGCTATAATTTATTTGGTAATTTAAGTGTCCTACAAATTTTTTAGGCATTCATAGATCTTTGCATGTCTCCATTACAGTCAGATGGTTGGAGTTGAATATATCCTTCTACATGCTCAAGAGCCCATCCTTTTCATCATTCGAAAGCAACAGCGGCAGTCCCCTGCTCAAGGTAAAAATGTATAAAATATCATAATTTATTTACTGCTTGACTTATGTGCTTTGTTTTTATAAATAAGGGGTTTATTCGGTGTGTGATTCTGGAACTGACCTAAATTTATATTTTTTTGGATTGAGTTCTATTTTCATAGGTCCCACAAACCATATATTTGTTCAGTACTTTGCTAGATGTAGTCATTGGACTGAGTTTGTCATTGTACCCATGGTTAAGGTTGTTATGGATGCACAGCTAGACAAGTAATGGGAAAAGACATTGGGTAGAGTCTTTAGGAATTGCAGTATGAGCTTCCTGTGCTTTCCTTCCTCTGAAGACCTGTATAAAATGTGCCTTCCATTCAGCTAGGAGATGAAGCCACACATACATACGTATGCTCCAGAAAGCCCATTTGAGACTCTAAACCTAGAACTCTTTTTGAGACCTGGTCACATGGGCATCCTTTGCCTACTAGGATTCCAGACTCCCAGAAGGAGTGTCCATCATATTCGCATTTGGAATGGGTAGGCTGGTGTAGCAGGCATAACTGTCACTTAGGAAATATATCAGAAACTCTCATAGTGCTAGAAGTTAGGCTGATTCACCTCTTCTGTAAGCACAAATATTGAGAGCCCACTGAACCTTAAGCCTCCTGAATAAGATTTCTTCTCCTCATAGTCCTCCGAGTTAAGCCTGTTATGAAATACATGGCAGATACAATTGTGTCACATTCATAGAGGAGCAACTGAGTATCTTCAAATGACACAGTCAAAAATTTTACCTGGGTTTACTCCCAAATGAAAAATTGCTTAGGAATAACACTTAAGGGTAATGAATCCAGGTTTGGTTTTAAATCAGAGAACTAAGAAACATATTTTAGAGATGACTTGTGCTTGAAGACACATTGAAATCAAGTCAGGACTTTGGAAAAATCATACTGAAGAAGAGATGATTCAAGGTAGAGAAGCAAGATGGTGTTGTCCCAGCGACATCTTTCAACTAGATGTCCTTCATTGAGACACTTAGGGTCATCCTTTATCCTAGGACCAATTCCAGAGAATCACTTGCCAAATATATTATAGTTCAGAATTTAAATTTAGTTTCAAAATGGAATATCTAGAGTCTCTTAGCAGAGAAAAAGAGAACCTTAGAAGACAGGCAAGGTCACGTGAGAGGATTCAGGGACTGGAAATGACACAGGATGGCACCAGGCTCAGCAGTAGTTATCACTGTCCTCAGTACTCAGTCCTGGGACTCAAAGGCAGCATAATGCATCTGATATCTTCATTCTAGACTCCAAGTCTCTCATGTTCTGTGGTCTTCCTGCAGAAAATAGCATTGGCACCACTTGGAACATTGTTTGCAGTGTATTACTATGTATGCCTAGAAAGACTCTCATTGTAACACGCTTATGATGTGCATTAAACTGATTAAACATGATTCAAGTGTGTTTAAAGTTGGAACAGCTTTGCTTGTGGGTAAGAGTTGGAATACTTTTTCTGTGAAGGGCTGGAAAATAAACTCTTTGGAGTTTATTTGGTTGGAACTGCTCAACTATTGCTAAAGCAACTATAGGTAACAAATAAATGAATGGGGGGTGGCCATTTTTCTAATGCTACTTTATTTTTTGAAAAGAGAACTCTTTAGACCATCCCTTAAGGTTTAATATGGGGAAATGTAAATTTTAGTTGTTGTGAAAATCTCTTTAGCAGTTTGTGTCCACGATGTGTTCAGAAGCATATTTTCCCTTCCTCAGTTATCCCACTGGCTGACTACTATATCATTGCTGGAGTCATCTACCAGGCACCTGACTTGGGATCAGTTATAAACTCCAGAGTGGTACGTGTATTCACATTCTTGTCTTATTTGAGACAGTAGCCTTGAACTCTGTGTATCTGAGGGTGGCCTTGAACTCTGGATCCTCCTCCTTCTATCTCCTGAGTTCTGGGATTGCAGATGTGTGCCAGCACACCCAGCTGTTATCACATTCTTCAAACATTAAAGCTTCTAGTTGAGATACCTTGCTTTTGAGAATCAAGTAGGAGTTCTTCCTCTCTGTGTAAGTTCATATAGAATGTCATGAGCATGGTTACTATGGGCCAAGTCAGTGCTAGTGTGTGTAATCTTCTTTCAGAATCCATGGGTTCCATTGTACAGGTAATACAGAAAAATACTTGGAAAAAATTTGTACCTGTACTGAATATGCAGACATTTTTCTTAATTATTCCCTAAGTGACATGGTATAACAACTGTTGCATAGCATTTACATTTTGTTAGGTTTTTAAGTAATCGAGAGATGATTTAAAGTATGTAGGAGAATTCATATGTAGGCTACATGGAAATGTTACACCATTTTTATATAAGGGATGTGAGTATGGAACCAACTCCCTATAAATACTGAGGGATGACTGAAACACTAGTTAAATGGTATTTTAGACTCTTTGCATATGTAGCATTTCGTGAGTATTTACTTTGGCAATTCTAGTTGACCTAATGAGAAATTTAGAAAAAAAAATTAATTTTTTTCTTTTACAAGCTTACTGCTGTGCATGGCATTCAGTCAGCTTTTGATGAAGCCATGTCATACTGTCGCTATCATCCTTCCAAAGGGTATTGGTGGCACTTCAAAGACCATGAAGAACAAGGTAGGTAGAGTGCCTATATCCTCCCCAAAGTTTTTGATACTCTTAAGGATGAATCTCTTTTCTTTAGGAAGGAGGCTTTTGATGCTATCTAGCTGTGCTTTAATTTTTCAGAAGATGATGGCATTGCTTGCACCTGTGACTCCTTAACTAGCTGCAGTAATAGCTTTCCCATAGGAACAACTATAAGTTTCATCTGTTAGGTGACTGGTACGCTTTGGAAAGAGGACTTAAAATTTTAAATTATTTGGAACAGAAACAGGGAAAACATTGATGGGGAATAAGCAAAGATATTTCTTACCTACTGAGTTATGGGCCCTTCATCCCTTTAGTCTTCAAAGTTAAGGAGACGAGAGGCCGCTCCTGGTGCTCTTTCTCCAGATGGCCAGGTATTGGCTTCCTTTCTTCTGCCCTCCCTCCTGCCCCTCCTCTCCCTCCTTTTCTTCCTCTTCTGCTCTTCTCTCTTCCTCTTTCCTCTTTCTCCTTCCTTCTTCCTTTTGTTGTTGTGTTTAGGCTTGAACCCGGGGCCTTCTGCATGGTAAGTATCCTAGTTACTTTCTATTGCTGTAATAAACACTCTGACCAAAAACAACTTGGGGAGGAAAGGATTTATCCTATTGTATCTTACACTTCAACGTGACAGTTTGTCTTTGGAGGAAGTCAGGCAGGAACCCAAAGGCAGAAACTGAAGCACAGACCATGGAGGAATGCCGCTTACTGGCTTACTCCCCTGGCCTGTTTTTAGCCTGCCTTCTTATACAACCCAGGACCAGCTTGCCCGGGGGGAGGCACCACCCACAGTGGGCTGGGCCTCCTACCTCACTCAACAATCAAGAAAATGCTTCATACACATTCCCACAGGCAAATCCAATAGAGGAAATTTCCCTAGTCAGGGTTCCCTCTTCCTAGGTGTGCCAACCATGACTATAGGCAAGTACATTATTACTAAACTATATTCCCAGTTGATTTATTTCTTAAATTTTTATTTATTAGTATGTTGGTGGTAGAACTCACGTGCCATGGCACATATGTGAAGGTCAGAGGACAACTTCATGGAGTTGGTTCTCTTCAGTCACCTTTATGTGGGTTCCAGGTATCAGACTTAGGTTTCCAGGCTTGTGTGGCAAGTGCCTTTTACCCACTAAGGTATCTTACTGGCCCTAGGTCACTTTCTGATCCTTTTATGTTCCCACCTGTTACAACATCAGGTCCCTTAGTTCCCATAGCTTCTAGTCTATGACCATTCTTTCACTATGTTTTATCAGACAAATGCTGTGTCCAGAAATGTATCTATAGTATTGTAAACTGCATATCTTCTTTGAGAATAGCAACAGAGAATAGTTAACTGTGAAAAGTAGCCTTTATGTAGAATTCCGATCTGTAAAATGGTCTTTCAGATGTAGTCATTTTGATTCTTTATATTAGGTGTAGGCAGTGATATTCAATGTAGGAAAGTTTGCCTCAGTGAAATAAAGTTGACCAAAGGTCGCTTATCCCTACCCTTATGAAGTTTGGAGCAATAAACAGTTCCCCACCTCTCCCCAACTTCCCTCTTCCCCCTGCTCAGAGCAAATCCCACCTGTGAAAAAGTTAAGAATGTCTCTTTCACACCCTTCTTTCTTGGCTTCATGATCCTGTTTTGTCATTTTTTTTCCTGGTGGAGTATTTAACATTTTTCTTAAAGACAGAGAGAGAGAAAGGGAGAGGGAGAGAGGGAGGGAGGGAGGGAGAGGAGAGAACACAAGAATGAAAGATCAACCAATGACTGTTTTAGAAAATGTCTCAGTTTGTGGCCCAGGCTGGCCTTGAGCTTATGATTCTCCTGGCCTCGGCCTCCTGAGTGTGAGGGTTAATAAGCATGCATCACCATTCTCAGCTGATGGTAGGTTTCTTTTTTGGTTTGTTTTAGTTTTTTATTATTTTTATTTTATATGTATGAGTGTATTGCCTGAATGTGTCCTGCAGTGCCCAGAGAGGTCAGAAGAGATTATTGGATCCCCTGGAACTGGGAACTAGAGATATGATGGTTGTTAGCTGCCATGTAGATGCTAGGAATTGAGCCCAGTCCTCTTCAAGAGCAGCCAGTGTTCTTAACCACTGAGCCATCTCTCCAGACCATGTTTGTTTGTTTGTTTGTTTTTAAGATAGATCTTATGTAGCCTTGGCCAACCTTGAATTTGTCATGTAACCAAGAATGACCTTGAACTCCTGATTCCTCTACCTTCCAAGCCTTGTTTAATTAAAGTCTTTATGTATAGTGATTAGAGTTTGTGAAATGTGCACGTTCTTTTTGTAGGTTGTGTGGAATAAGACCATTTAATGAGTTTAAAATGCATAAAAGTAATTTCAAGCCAATAATATGGGTTGTGATTTAGATAATTATGGAGAAAGTCTTAAAATTCTTATTCTACCCATGATTTCATACTGAAACTGAGGTATCTTTAAAAGATATTTAAGTGTCAGCGTTTAACATCATTTAAAAAGGAATGAGTGTTAGATATTTCGTTTTTATGTATGCTGTGTTTTGTTTATTTGGGGAATCATCTTGATGTAGTAGTCATTAAACATAATGAAACTTGGGTGTGGTCAGCATGTTTGATTTGGATTTTATATTTTAATAGATAAAGTCAAACCTAAAGCCAAAAGGAAAGAAGAACCCAGCTCTATTTTTCAGAGACAGCGTGTGGATGCTTTACTCGTAGACCTCAGACAAAAATTTCCACCCAGATTTGTGCAGGTAATGGGAGTGTGTAACATACATTTTAAATCAAGAATCCTTTTAGGTATGATCTAAAAAATACCAGTTTTCCTTATTTGCCAAAAAACTACCTCTGACCCAAAAGGAAGGTTTACTGATGTTCCTTGATTAAATGAGCATCTAAGGTGTCCTATGTAGTACAAGTAGCTGGGATAAAAATAATAATTAAATACTACCTATATTTTACTAATAGAGGGAAACAGACAATACTACAATGACTCCTTCTAGATTCTAGTTCCATCAATCTCAGGCTGCCTTAAGCCCCTAAAGAGCCATTTCCTTGCCCACTTCCCCACTTCTGTTTCTGACCTAATATCCCATGGCTAATAGACAAAAACTCTTTTTGAAAGGTATTTATTAACAAACCACCAGGTCCCACTAACCAAAAAAACCTAAGAATGCCATCAGATAGCATCTGAGACCTATAGTACCCACCCCCCGCCTCCTTGCTATGACCTGCCTACTGAATGTATCTACCAGTGTATTTGAAGTGTCTTGAAAAAATGAAAAAAAAGAAGACTTAATGAAGGAGATGAGTAAATGGGATGGTTTACACTGTTCTGTGTCCTTTACTGAGTCTTTGTGGGCATTGAAGTCTGTGGTAAATAACATTCTCATCCAGAGTGCTGCTGAAAGCATAATAGGGCATAACAGTACTAGAATTTGAACACATGCTTCCTACTCTACTGCTGCATTTCCAGCCTGATGTAGTGGTATGTAAGCTCTTAAATGATTATATAGTTATAACTTTTGTAACAAAAAGAATAGAACTGGTGGGGCATGGTGACCCACACCTTTAGCCCTAGCAGACCAGACAGGGATCTCTGTGAGTTCAAGGCCATTCTGGTCTACATACTGAGTTCCAGGCCAACCCTACTACAGGGAGACCAAAAAAAAAAAGAAAATAGACCATTTACAGTAGAGGCTATGGCATGATCAAGAGGAGGCAGAGATATAATGGAGTTCTCTTATCCCAGTGCTGAAGGTGTGTAGTGTGATTTAGGAGTGTGTCATTCCAGCAGCAATTAGCAAGTCCTGATATTCTAAAGGCTAAGTGAGTTTTTGAAGGAAAGCAGATAAGAGGTGGAGCACATCACCATGTTAGTGGCATAGTCAGTCTTTATTATGGGCTTTACAGAATTGTGTAGCCCATAATCATGTATATTGTTGTTGTGGGGAGTGACTTAAGAAAGGCAGTTTTGAGTTCGTTGCTATTTTTTGCATCCTGAAATGATATTAGAACAAGCCTCCTCTTCCTCTGTGAAGGCCTGTGTCACTGTAAAATAGTGAGAGCTGTTCTGGAATTTTGTGTGTTAGTGAAGAGCACAATGGTGACACAGCTGAACAAGGGCAAAGCAGTTTAGGAGGCTCATGAATTGCACTTGAAGGTAGAACAGGGAAATAAAGGCATTGGAGCTGTGTATTGGTTGATGAGAAAGCACGTGGAATCTTTGAGATGAGCTGTATGGATCACTCATTCAGTGAGTACATTGTATATACTGAGTATCCTGAGGGAAGAACATCCAGACCTGTGCTGTGTCCAGTATATTAGCTGCTGGACACATGGGACTCAAGTACTAGAGAAATGGCTAGTTCGGGTTGAATTGTGAGTGTGACATACATACTGGACTTTAGAAACTTGCACCAGAGGCTGGAGGTTAAGAGTGCATGCTGCTCTTCAGACGACTCAACTTCAGTTCCTACCACCTACTTCTGACTGACAACTGCCTAGAACTCCAGTTGCAGGGAATCTGATGTCCTCTTCTGGCCTCTGAGGGCGCCTGGACACACATGGCATGCATGTGAAGTCACAAATACACATAGTAAAAACAAAAAACATTACACCCAAGAGTTTAAGATAACTTTTATTACAGTATATTGTTAAAATTGTCCTATTTTATTGTTAATTTCTAATGCCTAATTTATAAATTAAATTTTATCATAGATTTGTATAGGAGAAGCACAGTATATTTAGGATTTGGTATTATCTGCAGTTTCAGGAATCCACTGGGTCTTGAAAGAAAACTTGCACTGGTAAAGGGATGCTTACTGTAGTCACTTTTATGTTTTAGGAAAATAGCTAATAACTGTAGAAAATGCTTAGGAGACAAGTTTGGAGAGGAGAGTCAAGATACAGTTCAGAGTTAGGATTGCTTAAATTGGGAGGTTAGATTTGGAGAGATTAGCACTAAGGGGTACTCTGAGGTGTCAGAACTAGGGCTAGACTAGGTATTGATCTTGACATTGAAAACACAGGAAGAGCAGCAGCAGATTTGAATTGAGCTATGGCTATTAAGGACAGACCATTTGGAAGCTTACTCCTGTATTTGACTTCTGATACTCTATTGAGTTGACTAGGTTTTTGGTTTTGGTTTTTTTTTTTTTTGATTACTGATCCTGCTGATAAGACTGGACACTGTAGAAAGCTTAAAGTAGCCTTGACTCCTAATAGAAAAAAAACTTTACCTTGTAGAAAATGATGGCAATTTTAAAGGATACATAGAAGTCAAGAAAATAGTTTAAAATTGAACTCTCGCGATTCTCCTGTGCTGTACTTAACTACAAAACACAGCTCGTCTCTTATCTCTTCTCCTGCCACCCAATTGTGTGTTCAGGCAAGCACTGACCTCCATAGCATTTCAGTCAGGCTGTTCCTTTAAAGACTTAGCAATACACACATTTAAGTTACTTTTTTTTTTTTTTTTTTTTGAATCCTGTAATTCCTTTAACCATCTAAGGACCAGAAGCCAACTCCCAGAGAGTAGCTCCGTGTAACAGATGTAGGAAAAAGTAGACTTTCTCTAGAACTACAGAACTCTTCCTTCTCAGACCTAGAGAAGCAGAAGCAGATATTACCCAAAGTCCCCCAGAGCAACTTGTAGCTCAGGACTTACTCCTGCCTAGACATTGTCTTTAACAGGTACATTTCTGGTGCCCCAAACTGCTCCCTCTGTAGAAGCGCACAGGAGAGCGCTTGCCTACTTTGAAACCTCTTTTTTTTCCCAGGCTTTAGTTCTTGTTACTGCTGGATAGTATGCTGACACTGATTCAGGAATTACACTGATGGGGATTCCAGTCCTTAGAGTCTTTAAGATGACTTTCTTTTTGGTGATTATTTTTTCTTTTTCCAGAAGCTGCTAAGGCACTGTAGGATATTACACAGGTTCATCTTAAGACTTCCTGATTAAATTTGATTGGAAAAGGCACTGCTACTTAGTTTGCCCATCTCAAATCACATCCTGCTAGTTGGTCTGGTAGTATTCACTAGAAAAGATTAGCATGTAGGTTGGTGGATAGTGACATTATTCCAGTGTCTCACTGTTCAAATGACTCAGAGCTACCAGTTATAAACATCTCAAAATATTCACTCCCATTTCCTCTTTTACTGTAAAATAAGAAAAAAATGTATTCCTCCAAATTACTTCAGACATATCTAAATCCTGATACGTTTATGATCTGTGGCTGTGTTGGGGATTTCCATGACCACCTCTATATTTGATGATTTGCTAGACTAATAGGACCTGGTATATATGGTATATAGTTGTACTAGGTTTGTTACTGTGATAATAAGGATATATAGTGAGAGCTTATGGGGGAAAAGACACAGATGGAGTTCGGGGGATCCCATGTACAGGTTTCCTTATATTTTTTGCTTTCCTGTAAGGGGTCCAGCATTTTTACTTCAACAACAAAAATGTACCAATATATGACTATTTCTACCTGGGAAATCCATGAGAAGTCTAATACCCAAATTTTTTAGGGGTGATTCATCATATATAGACCCCTCTGTCAAGCACATAACAAATTCCATAATCTGAAGCAGATGTTCAGTATTAGCAATGTTGTTTGTGCGGTCTAGGCATGGTAACTAATGTTACCAGGCACAGAATGCTGGAACCCTCCCACAGTTAAAGTTCATACCATCAGAGGCCAACCTTAGAAGCAAGTCATTGTTTTTGCTTTGTTTTCTTTTTTTTTTTTCCCCAGTGTTTGGGGATTGAACTTGGAGCCCTGGATGAGCTACATCCTCAGGCTTCTTTTTTTAATTATTGTTTTTTAACATTTGTGTGTTGGGGGTGGGGTATGGTGCTCACATGTGGAAGTCAGAGGAGAGCTTGTGGGAACTGATTCTCTCCTTCTTCCACTTGGGTCCTGGGGATCAAGCTGAGGTTGTCAGGCTTGGTAACAAGTGCCTTTTACTTTACCTGTTGAGCCATCTTACTGCCCCCCCCCCTTTTTTTTAAATTTTTGGGACAGGATCTTACTAAGTTGCTCAGACTAGCCTTGAACTTTCTCTGTAGCACAAGGAGGCCTTGATCTTGGAATCCTGCTGAGTAGCTGGGATTACAGATCTATATCATCACAACCATTACAAGAGGCCTTTCTGAGGATGGCAGTCCCAGGCTTTCTGTGGTAACATCTTTCTGCAAATGGATTGTAGTGTGGAGCCCAGTTTGGTCTTGTCAGTGTTCACAGTACTTGCAGCTGGAGGAGGCAAGTAGGCCATTAGCATTAATGTGGAGCATGTGACACCAGAAAATGTTGTACTCTTATCAAGGGGATAGTAAGAAGAGTTGAGGAGGGCACCAGTGCTCTTAACTGCTGAGCCATCTTTCCAGCCCCTCTACTCACCCCCCCATTTTATTAGTTTTTTTTTTTTTTTTTAATATGTGAGTACAAGTGTCCTTAGAGGCCAGAAGAGGGTATCGGATCCTCTAGAGCTGGAGTTACAGGCCATTGTGAGCTGCCTGATTTAAGAGCAGTCTGTTCTCTTAAGTGTTGAGCCATCTCTCCAGCCCCTCTTATGCTCATTGAAAAATATCTTTTTCCTTTTCATTTCCCATGCCCACCAACCTTCAAAGAGTATCCATATTTCACTCTTCTTTTAGACTTCATATCCTCCAAACTGATAAGCCTCTGAAAGCTTGAAAGACTTCAGAATTTCCTCTCATTGATTCTGTGTAACCACTTTTTGTTTTGTAGCCTTTGTATGAAACCATATGTTTTTGTAGGATGTTGAAGTGTTTTTTGTGATCGTCTGTTCTGGAATGGAGGGTACGGAGTAGAAAATGACCTGGTTCATCAATGGTAATTGTTATGATACATGAATAAAAATTTCCCTTTATGAAGTTATTTATAATGCAGTTAGATAAAGGTATCATTTAAGTAAGAATATACAATCAAGAAGAAATTTTACTAATGACCTGCTTTCTTTTTTGTCTTTTCTCCTCCTTCCCCTATTTCCTGCTTTTCAAATAATAGCAAAAGTCTGGAGAAAAGCCTGTCCCAGGTATGGTTTCCCAGGTCTAATATTCTTACTAAATTTGAACTAAGATCACGTAGCCTATTTAATGTATAACAGTGACAGCATGTGGTAGGGAGGTTCTCTCACCATTTTATGTAACTGTGAGGAAGTTGGGATCCATTCCTGGATGGAGACCTTCCAGTGAGGCCTTAGGATGGGAGCACCCACACTCCTGTGAGTAAACGCTCACCCATTGCTCTTAGAAGGAACACTCCCGAGATGGGCCAATAGCCACATCCTAAAGACAGATGATAAAAGGCCCAAGTGTTCAGTATCTCGCCACAGTAGGAGGAAGATTGTCCTACATCTGTGTCACCCCCACCAAGGCTCAGAGACTCTTGCAGAAGAGGATGGTGGAAAAAAAATGTAAGCGCTGGAGGAGGGATGGAGTGTTACATAGGATGGTCCTCTGTGACCAGCAGACTACAGACAGGTGCCATCTTCTCAAGTTTGGTTTTACCCGGTCACCCAGGATCATCACAAGTAAACTTGTTGACTGTTACTTTCTGCAAGAGAGGGGCAGGCAGAGACAGCCACACGCCCCAATCAACCAGTCAGCCCTAGTTGCACGAGGGGGAGGACCAATGAGGGGGGCGGGTTAATACAAATAAACTGAGGAAGCCTGAGGGAGGCTCTCTTGCCATTTTGTATGACAGTGGGGAAGTCACAGTCCATGCCTGGATGGAGACTTTCCAGTGTGGCCTTAGGTGGGGACACCCACACTCTGTAAATAAAACCTAATAAACCCTCACCGACTGCTCTGGAGGCCCAGTAAACTCACTGGTTTCCCAGACTTAAAAAAAAAAAGTGACCAGCGTGTGAGATGAGCTGTAGCTCTTTCTGGTTTTCTAGATTCATGGTTTTGTTGCATCTGACTTGAGATCTGTTTTGTTGAACAAGTAGTGTTTCTGTGGTGGTGACACTGGCGTCTAAAAGGGTAGTTTGAAGAACAGACACTAAGGAAGTATAAAGAAGCTAAGGTAATTTGAGGTGACTGAAACAGGTGTTGAGCTGTTTGAGAAACTGCAGTAGAATCATTTATGTGGTTGGTTTATACATGATATCTTATTTTAATGCCATGTATTTGCCTAGCATTGTAAATTTCCTTGAGTTAATGCTAAGTAGTTAGGTTTATAACTGGATTCTTTAATACATCTGTCCAAGGAAAGAACTAGATACAGAACTTCATAAGCATTTGAAAATGAATTTGAGAGTGAACCATTCATACTAACTGTTGTTTGAATTTTTCTCATCCTTCCGCTTTCCTTCCTCTCGGAAAAAAAAAAAAAATCTACTTTCAATGTCTAGTGGATCAGACAAAAAAAGAGGCAGAACCAGTACCAGAAACTGTAAAATCTGAGGAGAAGGAGATCACAAAGAATGTCCACCAGACGGCAAGCACTAAAGGTCCCCCTGAGAAACGAATGAGACTTCAGTGAGTACTGGACAACCAAGAAGCTTGCAAGATGCCTCTTGTCAGTTACAATACCTCAGTACTATGGCAGCGATTGAACCTTAAAACACTATTGCAACCCTCTCGTTTGTATGCAGTGCACTAGTTCTTTAAAAAAGGACCTTACCCTCTTCTGCCTTCTATGTGAATATGTATTTTTTGTAACCTTTCCTCTACTGGACTTGGGCAGTGCACCTGACTCACAAATATGCCAGTATATATCTTTAAAAAATAAATAAAAGCATTTGTATATATACTTCTCCTTGGCATTCTCTTTTTTGTCTCCGAAATATTTTGGATGCATTTTGAAGACACAAAGGATAATTTTGTGTAACAACTAAACATAGCTTGTATTTTATATCCATCTGTATCACAACAGTAAATTTATTGAAAATTTGAAAGCTAAGGTTGAGGTTGACTGCACTCATTGACCGTCCTCCACAGGTTCTTGCCGGTTTTCCTTGTTTCCTTTTTCTCTGCACAGGCGCTTTTCAGACTTGTGGTTTATAATTACTCTTTCCAAGAGAGGTTTTAATAGCTGCAGTCTGTTTGTGAAGGGGACCAAATAGTATAAAGAAAAGAGATTGGGCAACATAGAGTTAACCAGACAAGCTGCTTTGCAAGGTCACAAGCAAGTTGGAGCAAGGCCTTGAAGTTCCTTGCACACAAGGAACTATATGAAGGTGTCAGCACACTGACCGACACAACCTTCATCTTGAGCTTGTTATTCCAAAGTCCAGAATGTCCTTGAAGATAGTAGCTATAGCAGGTCTTAGTACCCAGATAACAGCTGGGAAAATGTTTGTGTCCTGTGAGAAATCACGTACTGTGCTTCTGCTTCTCATGCTGTACTTGTTTTGCAAGGCCAATAAAAGAAAAAGCAAAAGGCATTCGGGACTCTTGCCCTGGAGGTGCTGAGCCGTCTGCTGTCATTGAACATTCCTGTGTCTCTGGTTACTTTCAGGTCTGAGCATCAACACGTTCGCTCATTGTTCCTCATGCTTTCCTCTTGATTCAGTTTTATTAGGTTGTTCTAGGAATTATCCATTTCCTGTATGTTAGCTTCTTTGTATATATAATCACTTGTATATTTATATCTTATTTCTCAGGCACCCATTAAAATTTCTTTCATTTCTGATTTTACTTATTTGAGTCTTTCTTTTTCATAGTCTAGCCAATGGTTTATCTGTTTGCTTAAAAAAAAAAAAAAAACTTGCCTGAGCTGGTGTGCTAGATAGCTTTAGTGTCAACTTGACACACCTGGGTTGAGGGAGCCTCAATCAGGGAATTTCCTCTATTGGACTGGCCTGTGGCCATGACTGAAGGGCATCTTCTTGATGAGTGATGTGGGAGGGCCCAGCCCACTGTGGGTGGTGCCACCCCTGGGCAGGTGGGCCTCTCTTGCATAAGAAAGCAGGCTGAGTAGGGGCCAAGGGAGCAAGCCAGTAAGCAGCATTCCTCCATGGCCTGTGCTCCAGTTCCTGCTTCCAGGTTCCTGCCCTGAGTTCCTACCTTGGGCTCCCTGATGAACTGCGACCTGGGAGTTGTAAGACAAATAAACCCTTTCCTCCTCAAGTTGG